AAATGTCGGAGGATATTGGAACGTTAATACACCAATGTACATTCTGTAGAGAACACAAAACCACACAGAGAAAGGAGCCATTAATGCACAGTGAGCTCCCGTCAAGACCATGGCAGAAAGTTGCTATAGATCTATGCGAGTTTAAGAAGCAGAACTACCTAGTGGTGTCCGACTATTATTCTAGATTCATCGAGATTCTGAATCTAACAAACACCACTAGTAGCCACATTATAGCCAAGCTGAAAGCCACCTTTGCACGTTACAGCATTCCGGAGGTACTCATGAGTGATAATGGGCCTCAGCTAGCTTCAGCAGAGATGAGGGAATTTAGTGAGGAATATGACTTTAGTCAGATTACATCCAGCCCACATTACCCTCAGAGCAATGGCCAAGCACAGCGGGCAGTGCAGATAGCAAAAACTATACTGCGACAGGACGACCCACTCGTTGTACTGATGGCGTACAGAGCCACGCCACAATTTGAAACCACACTGGCCGGAAGAGGATAAGATCAGGCAGGCTGATGCTGCAGCCAAGCAGAAACAAACATACTACTATAATCACAGGAATGGAGTAAATGAGTCTACCACCACTGAGCAAGGGGGACACAGTGCTCATAAAGTTGGATGAACAGAAACAGTGGACAACGCCCGCTGTTGTTCAGGGGCCTCGCTCCACTCCAAGGTCCTACATAGTGGAGATAGAACAGGGTGAGCGCTATAGGAGGAACCGGCGCCATCTGCAATCCACACCACAGCACCTCACATCTGTTGGAATGACTCCTGACCAAACCAACCGGGAGGTCAGGAACATGGATAACCCACAAGAGATAGAAGAACAACATAATCTCGCACCTACACAGGGGACTGTGACTGTTATGCGTTCTGGCAGAGTGAGCAGAGCCCCAGTCAAGCTGGACTGGTAGAAAGGAGCTTTGGGTGGGTGTGGGGATGTTCAAAGAAGAACAGATAAAATGAATGTTATATTGTTCAAAGAAGAACAGATAAAATGAATGTTAAATTGTTCAAAGAAGAAGAGAGGAAATAATTCAGTTGTTTAAGACATTTATGATTTAAGCCTTATTGAGGGCTTGTGATAAGAAATTGGTTATGACACCCGAAGCATCTTTAAAGGGGGGAGATTGTGGGCTCTGCGCCTCAGCTGTGTTGCGTTGCAGTGATTGGTGGCTGGTTTGTCGGCGCACACAGCTGGGGTGCATCCCGATTGATTATTACCTTCGCCATATTTAAACCCCTGGCAGACGCTCCGCCGTTGCCGGAACATTGCCAACATATCGTACATATGCGAACATTAACTACTGATACCTAGCTCAACATAGCGCCGCTTTATGTAAGTAACAATGGAATGCTACGCTGACAGTTACTGTTGCGTTTTGGCTTGACTCCATTTACACGACATACGCGCTACACTACACACACATTAACCATCTCCGTGCCCACACATCACCGTGTTATGTATGTCTTATTGGAATGCTACGCTGACAGTTACTGTGCGTTTTGGCTTGACTCCTTTAACACTACATACGCTATTCCCACAACACCGCATACGTTTTGATTCATCTCCGCAGCTTTACTTCTTGGACAATACTTGCCCTCTCTCCTGCCGTTAGTTTGTTTGAGTACCTGTTCGTCCCAGTCTCCTTTGTTATCACTGCCCCTCCTTTGTTATCACTGGCCCTCCTTTGTTATCACTGCCCTTCCTTTGTTGTAAGTATTATGGACCCTGTTTTTGTTGTTACGTTGGAGTTGTCTTATGTTTTCCCCCATTAAACCTTTGTTTTGTACTAGCACCTGGGTCAGCTATCTTGTGTCCTACCCCTAGTTCTCCCTCACCCTCCTGGCGAGGGGGGCTAACCCTAACAGTCACTCTTGGGAGACACATAAGGAGATGCTGTATTAAGGTAGTACACCTCAGAGAGAGAGGAAGTTACGTTTACGTTGTTCTGTATGGAGACGAGAAAATAAAGAGTCCGAACACTGAGAACTCACGTTGGAGTGGACTAATTCTTTTATGTCTGTTGGAGGCATACACAGACATTACACAAGTGTCGATACTGGTTTCTCTAAATGCTTCCAGGATTTCAAGGCCCACTCTCCGGAGCATTCGCACTGAACGACCCGTCACTAGTTTTTACGTGTTGTATTTATACTTGTGGGTTTAACTGTGTTTTCATACCTGAGTGCAGAACTCGAGCACTGGATGGTGGGTTTTGTGTTTCCTTGTCTGTCGGTCAGTCAGGAAGCAGCTCTGACACACATGGACATTCACACACTTCATGCAGCGATACCTGCACACACACACACACACACGCAGAAAGTTATGCATCAGACACGTGGGTGGGGCTGCCCTTTAGGGACCCAGCTCTGTGCCTAAACGATCACCGGCGATCAGCGCACAATGCCCCGTTAATTTACAGTACCCGTTAGTCTTCTGTCCGACTTAATCCCGACTAGCTCTGTAGTAATGCTCACGTGGGCAACAATAATCTCGTGGGATCAAGGCGGCTGCAGGTTTTGGAGCCAGGCACCACAGATGCTCTCCAGCGACTGCAGGAGCTCAGGGCATGAAAGAAAACACCTGGCTCTCACCTGATCTGAGAGCTGATTGGTTGAGATGTTTGATCTAACAAATAAAATCACAATCGCTGCCATTATACAAGATTATACAATGATATGTTTCTATAAAACATCATATTGTTGATCCACCTCTATCCTGTGAAAATATCGTTGCCCATGTGGGCGTTACGTCAGAGCCAGTCTGGATCAAATTAAACATAAAACTAGCCGGCATGCATTGTGCATCCGTCTCTGATTCTCAATTCTGTGCAGATCTGGACCATCTTGAATGTGCCTAGCATCTCTAGCCTGCTTGAACTCCAGCAGAGTCTCGGAGTACATCTCATGTTTCTTATAAGATCATTTCTACACACAGGACGCACCAAGTCTCGACTCAGAGGAACAAGGAGTGAGGAGCCAGGGCGGTGCTGGAGAAGCCATGACCAAAGATACACGAAACCATCATTTGCTGAAGTTTTTGTGAGCTGACAGCCCCCTAATCTGAAATCAGTTGGTGATTGGATGCTTCAAGTGAAGGATCTGAGGAAAGAACATGTCACTAATAATGTGTTTCCTTGAGTCCTCTCTCCTTACATGTTTTCATTGCATCTTTTCCTTGCATCTTATGTTGGTGGGACTAAGACACAAGGAAAAGATGCAAGTGAGGGAAACAATGAGATGTACCCTGGTTAACCTGGTTAACTCCAGTAGAGTCTAATTTATCTCCTTCTTAATTATTAGAAGTTCTGATCTGATGCTTTAGCTGTCCTCTGATTGGCTGATGTGAGGTCACCTTAGTCCAGTGATGGGGAAGGTCTTGCAGGTGTGGCAGCGGACGGTGTGACTGACATTCTGACTGATGGACAGCCGGAACAGAGTGGGTAACCATAGCAACAGGTGTGGCTCGCTCTGCAGCCATGACAACACATGTTCTTTGCTCGCTGTCGGAGTCAACACCTGTAACACACAGAGTCAATGTGTGTTCCCATGATGACCCCTGTCACCTGCAGTCAAGTATTTCTCACTGATTCTCACCCCGTCAAAACACGACCTCACTGCTGCCTCCATGCCACCAAAAACTACTTCCTCCTGCACCGCAACAGGAACCTGAACACATATACATGTCAGAGATAGCAGGAGGAAAGAGGCATGCTGGTAAGTGTAGTCTGTGGTTACCTGACTGAGGTCTTGTAGTAAAGATCTGAGTCCAGACCTGCTGACAGATCCTGAACTGTTCTCAGAGACTCGGACCAGAGCTAAACATGAAGAAACAGTATTTTATTCTGAAGGAACGACTCATAATATTACAATTAGCAGAAGCTGTGTATTGTATTCTGAAGGTTAGGTGTTATTGAGCATGCTTAATGTTGAGGTTCTGCTTTTAAAACACTTGGACAGATAAATATAACCATTTAAAGATAAATTTTAACTATCCATCCATCCATCCATTTTCCTCCGCTTATCCGGGACAGTTAATTTAACTAGTTTGAAATAAAGATGACAATCTCTGTATTGTGAATGCACCTCTCTCTGGCCGTGTCCTTCTGTTTGTTTGTGTGTGTGTGTGTGTGGGTATGCGTTTGTATGTCTGAATGATGGACTCCACATAATCACCTAAACCAGCACTCTGCTCCTGACTTTTTACAAACTGATATGTGTGACACCTGTTTTTTAAGAGTAAGCGTATATTTAACGACTTTTTGTTGGCATCAATATAATATTTACATTCATTATGTATGTGGTGCAGCGTATGCAGTTTCTTATATAGGCTAGGCAAAAGTCATTTCACATTTTTGTGAGTCATCAGTCTTGTTTTGAATGAAGAGTCTCACCCTTAAGAAATGAATGTTTAATACTTCAAACTTAAAGACTTGTTCAAGGTTTGATGGATAACAACATGTACTAAACAGCAACTGTAAGGAGACCCACCAGGACACAGACGTGTATATAGTTAGGAGGCAGGAGAAGGAGATGAGGGCTAGTGTCAACCTCTCATGGTGGTTTATTAATTTATCTGTACTGTCTCATTGTTGTCTTAATTGTGAGAATGCTCTTAGAGTGAAGGGGAAGGGTTTGGGCTAGATGAGTGTGTAAACTTTACACAGGTGCAGAATGCTGAGACAAGTGGACCCTGAGGGTGTCAAACAGACATGGTGAGCCTGAGGGAAGTGATGATCAAACATTTGAAGTCAAACAGGTTTATCAGTGTTCATGCATACGCGTAGTCCTGGGAGTACTGTGATCTTTGGAAAAAAAAGTGAGGCGTGTTAGGGATGTTTTGTGAGGGAATATCTAAACTGCAGTATTTTTTAGATTTCGACAAATCTTGAAATGAGCAACCCTATTAACAAGTAGGTTTGTCCGTCCACCGTTTTGTCCTTTTCTCTCAAGGCGAGCCAGTGTGGTTTTGAGCAGGAAGCTGCACTCTGGGAGAAAATGTCACCCCAAGCCCACATTGACTCGATCAGCCGATCATCTTGCTCTGTCTCTTTTTTACACCACCTACGTAGGAAAATCTGATCATGTCTCTCAGCTTTCACAGCGTGGTGAGAGTCTTTGACAGATCAAATCATTTTGTGTCTTTACAGGTTCTGCATTTTTGCAAGGCGTACATGTTGCACAAGCATTGTGATGTGGTGTCAACACTGGAAAATACCATTTTACTCACAATAAGTGGTCAAAAGAAAGTGGCTGCATTTGGACTTGTATGGCACCAATACAATTGCTTGTGGTGCAGTATATTTATAGGAAAAAGGGCTATAAGAGACATTTAAGTCTATTTAAATGGAAAAAACTACATTCATATTACAAGAACTTTGCAGCAGGCATGCATAGGCCTTTCATGTGCTGTTGCAGCTTTACTTGAAAAACATTTGCTCTTAACAACAGTAATGTTTATGTACAAACTGATAAAAGCACAGACATATTTAGATGATTATTACATCGTGAGGCACATTTGTTAACTGGGTGCTCTTACATATGTTTGTATTAGCAATTCCACTTATTGTCTTGCTTTGCTTGGTCTCTCTAAGGCTGAATCACTCTTGTTCATTTAGCTGCTTTACACAGCATTTCTTGCTTCACTGTGGTGATTTTTGTGCACTGTATAGTGCATTTTCTGATTTTTACTTGCAGCTTAGTCTTTGAGCCTCATGCACGAATACTTTTGTATTCATGTCTTAAATTGTTCATACTTCTGTGAGGCTTGTTTGTATGAATGTTTCTTTTCAGATTCTTAAAATGTTCTTTTTTGCATAAACATTTCTCAAATTGCTTGTTTGGTCATGGGGAGGTGAGTGTTTGAGAGAGTTGATCATTAGAATAATCAACGACTCATTTGCGAAAGAGGGCTGCAAATTCCATCAGCAAACAAGTCGCTAGTCGTATTAGAGGACCCAAAACAATTAGAAAATGTTGAGTACATCTGACAACGAATGAGCTGTTATTAGAGCAGTGCTGTTCAGAAATACAGGCAATGGTTTGTGAATGGTCTGTTGCGAATTTAACCGTACAGTCAGCTTTGTTTGAGAGGTCAAAAAATAATGTTTATTATTGCATGTGGCAGAATTGCTCTTGTAATTGCCTATTCTTCTTTTTTTTTTTGGAAGCTCCAGATGTGCAGTTGTCCATCAATTAAGCAGAGAACTGAAAGTTGATGCAACACAGTGTGTCACAATGAAGTGACTTGTGTGTTTAATTATTTTGTCGGACAGTGTAAATCCAACTTTGTCTTGACATTGTGTGTAATTATGCTGTTGGTGAGAGTCATAAATCTCTCTGTGGTTCTGTTTTGAAATCTGTCTGTAAACAAAACGGTAGGTGAGAGTTCTCAGGCAGTTCATATGACTCAAGTTGACTGAATGCTGAGTAGGTGGGTGTTAAGGATGCTGAAATACATCTTGCGAAATGTTGAGTGGTGGTACTGACACTTGATGTTTGTGTGTGAGTCATCCTGAAAGGGGTCAGGTACTGTAGATTCTACTTAGTGCTTCTCCTTGCACTCTCATATCCTTTTATAGTCCATTCATGTCTTCATTGACTTGTCAGATGTGAATGAAGTCTAACTTTTAGTTTGATCCACAGGTAAATCCATCCATTTAGGGCAGAAATAGGCTACTATGTGCCAGGTAGCCCTCGAGTATAGATTATAACTCCTGACCAATATCATATCAGGTGGTTTTAATTTATGGTCTCTGGTAGAAATTAATTGTACAATACTCTGAACATAAAACCATCTTACTATTTGCATTTCATTGTTTTCTTATTATTTCCATCAGCCAGAGAAAGACAAAATTATTATGAGGGAGCACGCTTTGACACTGTCATATTGGGCCAGAGTCAGATACAATACTTGATTTAACTGAAATGTTTTTCCCCTGTCTTTCCCCACACTTTCCCCTGTATTAGTCCTATCAAGACTTTAGCGGCCTCAAGTGGTAGTGAGCCTCAACATCAGAGGTTTACTTCCAGAATTTGTGTTTAATAAATACTGGTTTGTAAAAGTGCATTGTTTTCCAGAAAATTCAGAACACCAGACTGAATTTGGATCCAGCCCTCACTCTGCCTCTCTCTCTCTCT